CAAATATGGTAGAGGGGAGGAACTGGATTGAATTCCACTGAACTTTAATCCCAATGACAAGGCTATTTCTAATGTGAATGGATATCAGGCTGCTTAAACCTGATGTTATTAAACATTCTATCCATTAAAATATCTTCATTTTTAATCCATGTCCTTCGATGTTCTAATTATTATTTGGCTTCCGAAGTATTTCTTCTTCTAGTATACTTATCTAAAATGAATTTCAAATATTTATAATGGTAGTTACTTTTAGGTAATTATTATATTCCAGGAATTCAGTGAATATGATATAATAGATATAATTCATTATAATATATTAATTCATTTAATATATTTGATTTCTGTGACAAAACATTAGTGATTACTGTGCATCTACCTTTGATAGGTGGATCAATTTGGGGCATGTTGAAAAAATCAGGGTGTAAGGTTTCCACTATGAGGTGCAGATCAAGGCTTATAATATATTTGTTAAGGTCAACCCTTCCTTTCAGCCTTTCCTGTGACCTACAAAAATCATACAACTATATGATTCTGTTTATAGTAGGAGTAGTTGAAGTAAATTACCATTGTTCAAACAAGGCCTCTTAAGTTCTAGATTCATCACTTACTAACTGTGAGGTCATCTTAACTTGCATAGATATTGGCTTCCTATGTAAAATAAGTATGTTGTCAAAAATCCTTCATGTGGTCACTGAAATTAAAAGATAATTCACATAAAGTGCTTAGCCCAATATAGGCCTAGAGTATGGTAAGAAATGAATGGTAGCTAATGCTTTACTCATTTATCACTAAGAGAATTAATAATATTCTAATAAGATGACATAAACTCTGTATATAATTAGGGAAGTAAGACTTTAACAGGGACCAATTGCAGACAGAACACAAGTTCATATAATTTCTAAAAACTATTCCTATTCTAATATTTAGATCTAGTAAATTACCACCTTAGCCTTCCTCTCAGGTACTGAGTTTTATTTTTGTCCCCTATAACTCTTTATTATTTGTAATATTTGAGGAATAAATAAATAAATACTCTTAACAGCCTGTTTCAAGTCTCAGTGGCTTAATATTATCAAGATTTCTTACTCCTTTATGTCACATTACAGTCAGGTAGAGAGTTGGGGTGAGTCTTTGTTCCATTTAGTTCCATTCAGTCATTCAGGGATCCAGGAAGTGTCTCTGCTATCTTCTAGAGTTCTGGAGTCCTCCATTGGATACTCTGCATAAGATAGGGAAGGTACAAAACTCATTGAAGATTCTGAAAGATACCCTATTCCATTGGCCAAAAGTCACATGGCCCAATCTAATTGCAGATAGGGTTTGGGAATGTAATCTAGTTATGTATTTGGGATGAAAAATAATGTATTGCTGAACACATAGCATTATCTCTGCCTTAGCAACAAACCAAACATTTCCACCAATAAAACTAAGTTAATTAGCTAAAGATGGTGAGGAACTCATGCCTACAAAATTTATTCACACATAATTTTATAGAGCTATATATCTCATATTACAAAGACTTTGTCAACAGAGATTGGAAGCTAGGAAGACTTTTTCTACCACTTTTTGATATGTTTATGTTCTATAGGAATTCTCTGGGTAACTTTTTGTGAAGCATTTTGTGAAGCATTTCTACTTGTATGTGTGAAAGAGATTATGTCCTCAAATGAGCATTTTCCTTGCTTTTATCATTTTGTGTCATTATCCCACCATTCTTTTATTATAGTTGTTACTGAGAACATTTAGCATGGAGATTAACTGTGAAATAAGTAAATAGCAAATTGTTTTGTTAGAAAAGAGTATAGAAGTCAATGCTTTTAAGAGTTTTTTTCATTATCTGCTATTTCTAAATGATTACAATACTCAGAAAACAGCAGATTGATAACCTTAGATTTAAGAATTTTTTTCTAGAAAGAATTGCTGTGATAGTAAACTTTATGCACAGTGCACACTTTGCTATGATACTCCCAAATATGACTTTTTCTGAAGTTCCATTTTATTGATGAGAGAGTTCTTTATATTAAAATCCATTTAGTACATGAATTCCCAGGCACTCTCCAAAAGACAGATTTTTTTATTGTTTTCATCATGGTGTTTATTCACCATGGTTAAAGAAATAGATTCAAACATCCTGCTTATTTTACATTTTACCCAACAAATCGCAAACAACAGCAACTAGCACTCAACATCCACATTTTAGTAATACCAAAAAACTATTGGAGACTGGCTATGTGTATTAATGGTTTCATTTCCACTGAGTATTTTTAATTATATTGATACTATTTTGAAAAGCATAAATATTTTAATTATTTTCTCATAATTAATATGTACATATGAACTTGATCTTATATTTTGATATTTTTCTTAAAAATCAAACTATTCATTATTCATGCTTAACCAAAAGATATATTTGTAATTTCATTAAGATACATTCTTAAATGACCATTTGTAATTCACTGAAGTTAAAGACTGACATTCTTTAGATGATTATATATTCATTTGCATCTTCTGTTTTTAGTAATTATAATACTAAATAATTCTTACATAAAATATTTGTTTTTCAAGTGCTTTTCTAGTGCATTCTACAATTTTTCATATAATTACCTGTTTGCAAGTTAAAAGAGGTTATAGAGTTCAAAATAACATCATGAGCATTGTTTCCATGCTTGTCTAACCAAGTCTAGCCTTTAATAAATAAATAAATGTAGAAAAATGAATACCCATGCATACATTAGTTTTTATTTTCAAATACATATTATTAAATCGAGCAATTCCAAGAGAAAAAAATGTTTGCAAATATGCATTTTAAAAAGTGGAAAATGGAATTTTTACTATTTTATTAAGTAGAATTATTAAGTATGTAGTCACATAAGAACTATAATTAAATATTTTAGGTATTATGCATCATAAGCTCAGTTATCCTGCATTATCCATTTTTGCATATAGCCTTTTATTGATTATATTGGTATATAAATTATTTTCTTTATATTTTAGATTAATGGTTTACATGAAGATTAGAAAACATTTACTGAGAAAATAATTTGAGCTATTTTAACCTTTACATGAGCATCCTATAACTTTCATTTAATTTACTCTAGTGAATGTGAACCTCCAGAAATATTTGTTTTCAGTCTACTTAGACATACAAGTTTTTGAATATTTCTATAAGACATTATTACCTTGAGTTCTTCATTTTCTTCATGAGATTTCATATAATGTATTAAGTATTAAAAGAGTGTAAGTGCTCTAGAGTTTAAACTATTGTTTCACAACTAAATTGATATATTACGATTTTACATTTGTATTACTTTTAGTTTGCTTATAGAACACAGACATTTTAGCTTGAGGTTTTACACATATTTGACAAAAATAATTTCAGTCCTACAGTAGTTAAGCAGAAATTGTTTAGCATTTGCACTTGAAACTTAAATGCTAATTATAATTCATTGACAAATCATTTAAGAATTTATGTAAGTTGACTTCAAGACATCTTCTTCCAAAACAGTTGTTACATTTCCCCGAGTTTCCTGCACAGTGGATTTTGAATTTAGCATCTGACATGTTTTCTCAACTCCTGGTTTATAATGAAAACATGTAGGTACTCAAGGGAATGTGTTAAAAGCAAAAATTCTATGATCCTTGAAAGGTAAATGACAGTGCTGAGATTGTCACATCTGGATCAGAAATGTTTCATCTGTTTATCTATCTAAACAAACACAAATAAGATAATTAGGACCTAACAATGCATGTTTTAAAAAACAACTTATGGCTTTGATTAGGTCAGAACCCAGTGATTTTTATTTTTCTTTGTTCCCACAAATGTGTAAAACTGGATTGACCTTTCAACAGCGAAGGCCTTTGAGTGATTACAGCAAATCTATTATTTCATATTTTGAAATGGAAGGTAAAATTAATCCTTGGCTTTCAAACAATCATATATTACATATTTAAATATATTTTTATATACATATACACATAACCAAACATGCACACATACATAATCATGTACATTATTATATGTCTAATTATTCAGCTAAATTTACTTTACTATATTTTCATTCTTATTAGAATAGAGCTAATATGTTTCAGAATTGCTAACCCGTAGCTGTGAAAAAGCAGTCACATACCAAAGTAAAATGAATCCTTTAAAAATCACAATTGTT